TTTGGTTTTTCGAGACCAGGATAGGCTTTGGAGACTATCCTGGCACTCACTCTGGAGACCAGGCTGGCCTCGAACTCACAGAGATCCTTCTGCCTCTGCCTCCCGAGTACTGGGATTAAGGCGTGCGCCACCAATGCCCGGCTTAAAAAATTAACTTTTTATATTTTGGTGACATAATGCTATGTAGCTCTGGCTGACCAGAAACTTATGTAGACCAGACTGGTCTTGAACTCAGAGATTCACCAGCCGCTGCCTCCTGAGTGCCGGGATTAAAGGCGTGCACCACTATGCCCAGAGATATGTTGAAATGTGTTAATAGTGAAATCTCTGAATGTGGAGGGAAAGGTAAAAATTTCTTTTGGAGAGCAAAGTCCTTTTGAAGAAATTTTGGGAAGACTAAGTCTCTCATCTTACATGGAAGTTTTATCTTTCTGGGGCTCTGCATCTGCTATTCTGAGGCACTAATTAATTATTTTTTAAAACAGCATGTCAATACTGTGTGTAAGATATTATAGATTTATGGAGATGAGTCAGACAAGCTCCATTTTCCCAGGGCACAGGCAACTTTCCCAGTGCATTCCATCTACAAGGAAGCATATTACAAAAAAAAAAAAAAAAAAAAAAAAAAAAAAAAAAAAAAAAACCAGAAAGGTCTGTTCATGAATATGCGATTTGTCTGTGGTCATGTTGGGGGTTGGTGTTGAAACAGGCCTCTGGCATTAAAGGTCTTTGCCTCTCTTTCATTGGGTTGGAGATGACTTCCAGAAATGAGATGGTTTGCTCTCTACTTGTAACTGGGAAAACTTTCCTGAGAGCCTACCTGTAGCTAAAGCCAAGTTCATTGTAACTACACTCTTCAGATCTGGGGGTGATAGTGTCTGTTAAGAGGGTGTTAAAAACGGATTATAGGATTTCAGCATTGGTATGTGGGAATGCAAATGGAAGAGGGAGCTCACTGTAGCCTACATGTTGTGGGTAAACAGGCAGATCTGAAAAACAAACAAACACACACACACAACAATGAGGAGAGACCAACACAAGAAGTAAACTTTTGAGAAATATTCACTTTGGCCAACAGAGGATGATATTTGTTTTTTATTTTTTATTTTTATTTTTTGGTGGTGGTGTGACCAGGTTTTTGTGTTTATACAGAATTCTGCATTAGGCTTTGCCTCACTTTGTTAAGGTTTCAGAGTATTCTTCCCAGAAGTTGTTATTCTGTGAGATAGTAATGTCCAATAAGAGAATAGCCTGGTCTCGCTGTGAATTTAGTGACTGTCGAGAGCTGCCTCTGTTTGTTTTCTTGATTAATCTACCGAGGCTGTGTTGAAATGAGCTCTGACTCAGGGCTTGGCTCAAGATGAAGTAATTCATTTGCTCAGTATAAGCCATTTAAGGATACCCACTCTTGCTGGTCCTTAAGGTAGGTTCTGGACTCTTGGACAGCTAATACCTCTTTGCCTCTTATGGCAATTCAGACAGCAGATGAGTGAATTTCAAAGGGTTGAAAACTATGTACTAGTGTGTAGTGATCAGTTCTGCCCCCTTCCCTCCTAGGACATAGTACACAGTCCAGTTGTCACATTAGTCTTTGGAGTTGCAGAGTTAGTGACTGATGAGAACTCACTACTTTTGTTTTTCGAGACAGAGTTTCTCTGTGTGGCTTTGGAGGCTGTCCTGGAACTCACTCTGTAGACCAGACTGGTCTCGAACTCACAGAGATCCACCTGCCTCTGCCTCCCGAGTGCTGGGATTAAAGGCGTGTACCACTACCCCCACCCCCTGCTACAAATTGCTTTTAAACCCAATTCAAACATCAAAAGGGCCCTCCCTTCGAATTAGATATTATTCACATTTATCAAATTAAGAGGATGAGGCTAGTAAACGGAAGAAAAGGGGCCCAATTTCACACTTTCAATGACTTCTCTATCAGACAATGACAAAAATGGTGTCTTTCAACTGAAACCTTGCTAAATGAACACATGCTTTAGCAACTATGGTGGCTGAGACAGACCTGCCCATTAATCTGCCCTGTGGAAGCAGATTAATGGGCAGGTGGAAGCACTATTCTGAAGTCACCATTCCTCTACTACCTCCTTATCGTCCATCACTCATGTCAAGCACAATGTCACTGTGAAGTTGTGTTTCTGTTCACAATTCCCATACACAAAAGGAGTGGGTTCTAAACTGGGCGGTGGTGGTCAAGGCTGTATGACATGCTATAAGAGGCAAAGAGGTATTAGCTGTCCAAGAGTCCAGAACCTACCTTAAGGACCAGCAAGAGTGGGTATCCTTAAATGGCTTATACTGAGCAAATGAATTACTTCATCTTGAGCCAAGCCCTGAGTCAGAGCTCATTTCAACACAGCCTCGGTAGATTAATCAAGAAAACAAACAGAGGCAGCTCTCGACAGTCACTAAATTCACAGCGAGACCAGGCTATTCTCTTATTGGACATTACTATCTCACAGAATAACAACTTCTGGGAAGAATACTCTGAAACCTTAACAAAGTGAGGCAAAGCCTAATACAGAATTCTGTATAAACACAAAAACCTGGTCACACCACCACCAAAACCAAAAAACAAACAAACAAAAAAACAAACCAAACAACGTTCTCTGTTGGCCAAAGTGAATTTGAGACCAGGCTGGTCTACAAGAGCTAGTTCCAGGACAGCCTCCAAAGCCACAGAGAAACAGTGTCTTGAAAACACCCCACGCCCCCAACCAAAACAAGTGATTTGTAAACTGGGCCATGGTGTTGCATACCATTAATCCCAGCACTTGGAGGCAGAAGCAGGTGGGTCTCTGTGATTTGGAGGCTAGCCTGGTCTACAGAGAGAGTTCCACGACAGCCAGGGCTGTTACACAGAAAAACCCTGTCTTGAAAAATTAAAAAAGAAAAAAGTGATTTGTCCCACCCAAGCAGGTGGGGTTATATGACTGTGATACTAATCTTAGACAGACACGCAGAGCAGTAAAGCAGAATGTTATCTATTAGCAGACCAGTCCACACATGAAACCTTATCATTTGGCCAAGATGGGTTTACATGTTACTTGGCAAAGAGTGGACTATTCAGAAAATTGGATTAGAAGAACTATTAATCCAAATGGGAGAAAGATACAATTCCTATCTGTGTCATTCACAAAAATCATTTTCAAGTGGGTTAATGAACTGACTGCGTAAAGTGCAGCTGCTGAAGAGAACCGGGGAAATTGTAGTATTAGACACAGAAGAACATCTTAAGAAACAAAAACGTAAACCCTGAAGGAAAAGCTTGGTGAAGATACTTGCTGAAAATACACTAGCAAGTGATTAGTATCTTGCCTAAAAGAGCAGAGTAAGACAACAGATGTGTTCTCTAGCAGAAAAAAAGAGCAGATAATAAAAGCAGGTCAAAGATTGGCCAGGAAGCCTGAAATAATCAGGGGCAGTATGACGGGATGGTATTTTTTCACATGAGATTGGGAAATACAGAGAGCGTCTGACATTATCAGCTGATGCTGTGGATGTTTGGGAGAGAGACATTACACGTTTTTGGAGGGAGTGGATGGCTGTGGTGGCACCCTCCTTTAATCCCAGAATTTGGGAGGCAGAGGCAGGTGCATACCTGTGAGTCTGAGATCAGCCTGGCCCACATAGCAAGTTCCAGGTTAACCAGGGCTACATAGTGAGACCTTGTCTCAAATTAAGAGGAAAAATTGCATGTGTGTGTGTGTGTGTGTGTGTGTGTGTGTGTGTGTAAGTTTGAGACACAGTGTATGTGTGGAGGTCAGAGGACAGCTTGCATAGTCAGCTCTCTCCTTCCATCATTTGGGTCCAGGGGCCCGAACTTACGCAGTAAGGCTTGGCTATAAGCTTCTTTGCTCACTGAGACGTCATTCTGGCCCATTTTTGTTGTTGTTTTGTGAGTCCTCAGTGAGTCATTTTTAATATAGTGTGAGTATTAATTGGTAAAAATTAATTTGGTTGAGTTGAAGATGTACTTAAGTAATTACAATTGTACCAGTGTCTGTTTTATTTTCTTTTAAACCACAAATAGAGCAGAATGCCAATGGATATTAGTTATGGATGGCAATGTTTGTTATAATTTTCAGTGTTTGGTTAATGGCTTGAAATACTTAACAATAAAATTCAGAAACTCCAAACTGTTCATAATCACAAAACAAAAATACTCATAAAGGGGCAAACTTGGTCATTTGATTGATTCAGGTACAAGGAGGCCATGCACTAGGTACTTGGTAGAAACAGGTAATATAAAGCTGGTACCTGCAGGTTGAGGTGAGTGGACAGGGGACAACTTACAAAGTAAAACACTGGATAAGTGCTATGGAGTAAATACACAGTGCTGAAATGGTAGGGGCATTTTTAAATAAAGCAGTTAGGGAAGGCTTCATGGAGGGAATGATGTTTGAGTCAAGAGAAATTGGAAGGATAAAATGAGCTATGCAGGAGGCATGGAGGTAGGATTGGGTTTGTAGTTCAGAGGAAGAATGTGTTCTTTGAATGCTTGCAAGACCATGAGATTGATCCTCCTCATGCACAGAAGTGGACAAAGCAGTTCAACCTGGGGAAAAAAAAGAAGCCCATGGATATAACAGTCTGATAGTGCATGGACTTAAAGAGAGGCCTGGGGCTTAGAGGGTTCTGGGGGAACAGAAAGGAATTAGTATGTGTAGGGTGTTGTAAGGAAAAGAGGGAGAGGGGGTTGGAGGGTTTAAAGATGTAGGTCATGTAAAGTCTTGTTGCCATGGCAAGGGGCTTGGATTTCATTGTGAGAGCAATGGGAACTATTGAAGAGTTTTGAGCAGAAGGATGACTCCCTCGGATCTGTATTTTGAAAATTACTCAGGGGCTTGCTGGTAGAGTACTTGACTGCCATGCAGCAAGGGCCCGTGTTTGTATCACAGCACTTTGTATGTTTGTATGTTGGGGGTTCTCTGCATCTGCTGTGTGGATTATAATGGGACAGATGTGAAATTACAAGGACATTCCCCTTCTTTTACACAGGGTGGCATGTAACCCAGGCTGGCCTTGGACTGGCTCCGTAGCTGAGGATGACCTTATGCTTCTTTGCCTCTTGGAACTGGTGTTGGGATGTAAGCTTAGAAGGAAGAACCTGAAGAAGTTTGTAATTCACGAGGACTACTGTAGCTTCATCAGTCAAGGAATACCTCCAAGGAGATAACATTTGAGCAGAAACCTTTATGTTAAAAAGCCATACAAGAGCCAGCTGTGAGGGTGCACACCTTTAAACCCAGCAGTTGGGAAGCAGAGGCAGGTGGATCTTCTGGGTTTGAGGTCTACAGAGGGAGTTCCAGGACAGCCAGGACCGCACAGAGAAACCCTGTCTCACAATAAAAAACACCCCTCCAACCAAACCAAACAAAGAACAAACCAAACAAAAACCCATAAAAGGAGGCCGGAGGCTTAGTGGTTAAGAGCACTGGCTGCTTTTATAGAGGACTGAGGTTAAATTTCCAGCACTGACATGGCAGCTGTCCTAGTTAGAGTTACTATTACTATGATGAAACACTGTGACCAAAAGCAAGTTGGGGAGGAAAGGGTTTATTAGCTTATACTTCAGCATTGCTGCTCATGACTGAAGGAAATGAGTACAGGAACTCAAACAGGGCAGGATCCAGGAGGTGGAAACTGATGCAGAGGCCTCGGAGGAATGCTGCTCACTGACTTGCTCCACACGTCTTTCTCAGCCTGCTTTCTTATAAAACCCAGGATCACCAGCCCAGGGATGGCACCATGTACAATGAACCAGGCCCTCCCCATCAATCAATTTTTAAAAAAATGCTTTATAGCTGATCTTATGGAGGCATTTTCCCAATTGAGGTTCCCTCCTCTCAGATAACTCTAGCTTGTGTCAAGTTGACATAAAATTAGCCAGCACTGCAGCTCACAAACTGTGACTTCAGTTCCAAGGGATACCATGTCTACTTGTGGCCTTTGCAGACACTAGAAATGAGCATCATGGATACGCACATGCATGCAGGCAAAACATCCATATACATAACCTTGTTCTTTGTTTTTTGTTTTATTGAGAGGGTTTCTCTGTGTAGCTTTAGCTATGTAGACCAGGCTGGTCTCGAACTCACAGAGATCCACCTGCCTCTGCCCCCCAAGTGCTGGGATTAAAGGCGTGCACCACCAACACCTAGCAAATTTTTAAACAAAGAAGCCACGCAAGGACTGGGTATGTCATGCAGTAGTAAAGTGCCTGCCCAGCATATGCAAGGTCCTGGATTCTATTCCTGGCACTGAAAAAAGAAAAAAAATGAGCCTGTGGCACTGTGGGATTATTACACAGAGAGAAAAGTTTTTGGGAAATCCTTCCATGGAAAGCAGTAGCTAGTAAACTCAGGACACCCTCTCAAGACATGGAAGTAAAGCTGGAGAGTCTGGACCAAGTCATTTTTGGTGAAGACATGAAGTATCTCAGATTCCACCTGTAGGGGTCCTCATGTCTGTGACTTCCTGCAGAACTGCTTCCTTGTTGCAGCTTCAGGCCTGCTGCATTAACTCTTCCGCATAGGTTCTCAGCACACACAGGCAAAGCTAAATACCACTGATGTGAATGAGAAGGGAAGCCCTCTGTGTAAAGGCTCGCTTAGCAGAAAGCTCATGAACTCTTTGCACTGTGTCAGAGGTTATGAAGATAGCTGCGATACTTTACTTTCACTTCCTTGAACAATTACTGAGGCCTTAGGGATAGAGAGCCAAATATGATAGGTCCCTGCTGTCAGCAAGGCAAGTCTAGAGGATCAGAGAAGCTACGAAACAATAACTCAAAACCGTGTTGAAAGTGCTGTAGCAAAGGTGAATGCAGGAAAGAAGCTGTTAGAGGTCAGGGGAAGAAAGAGGCGTTAAAGCTGATGCCCTGCAGGCATAGACACTTAGATATTTTAAGAGGAGGAAGCCTTTTATCCCAGCACTCAGGAGGCAGAGGCAGGAGCTCTCTGTGAGCTGGAGGACAGCCTGGTCTACAGAGAGAGTTCCAGGACAGCCAGAGCTACACAGAGAAACCCTGTCTCAAAAAACCAAAAGAGGAGGAAGAAAACAATGTGGTCGTGAGTGCTTCACCGGAAGTGACTCATCTGTTCCACTGGGTGATCAGGGATGCAGCCTCAGAGATCTGTCTGTTCCCCCATCCACCTTACATAGCCCCTTGCCTGCCTAGCCATCATCATAATGTCCTGATACACAACCTGATGATTCTTCGGAGTTAGAGCAGTTCAGAGTCCTCGGAGGAGGCTGCAGTCAGCTAGGTACCCTTAGACACAGAAATCTGCAGAGATGTGAACAGACCCCCCCCCCCCTTAGTGGGCAGACACAAGAGTAGGAGGTCAGTCTCCAGGAGGAGGAGGGGAGGAAGTTTCTGCTGTATTGTGATTTCTCCACATTAAAATGTCTCTTGTGTCTCTGGTCTCTTTTCACAGAACCCTGCCATCAGCATCACGGAAAATGTGCTGCATTTCAAAGGTTAGTATCTGGGTGATGACTGTAGCCCTCTGCATAGACCACAAGGCATGATGGTCATTTCTTTTTTAAAATTAAAAAAAAATATTGTTTATTTATTTATTTGGTTTTTCAAGACAGGGTTTCTCTATGGCTTTGGAGGCTGACCTGGAACTAGCTCTTGTAGACCAGGCTGGTCTGGAACTCACAGAGATCTGCCTGCCTCTGCCTCCCGAGTGCTGGGATTAAAGGCGTGTGTTACCATACTTTGCAGACATATTTATATTTTTAAAACTGTGTGTGTATGTATGTCTTTGACCACGTAGGCCAGATGAATGTGTCAAATCCCCTGAAACTGGAGTTACATATGGTTGTGAACAGACACATGGGTGCTAGGAACTGAACTCTGCTCCTCTGCAAGAGAAGCAAGAGCTATTTATAACTGCTAAGTTGTTTCTCCAGCCCCAATATTTGTTTTTAAAAATCAGAGTATTTGGATCATCTAGATGGCTCCCTTATAATCAAGTATTGCCACACATCAGTGACTGCATCTGTGACCCAAGCTGAGATAGAACCATTGACACAGTGCACAGACATGCATTCAGGCAACACTCATAAACATAAAAGAAGTATTTAAAGTTTATTTGAAAAAAAAACATTATAATGCAAACAAAGACAGACAACTTTATTTATTACACGTGTGCTGAGGAATGTGGGGATCAATCCCAGGGCCTCCCACATCCTGAGCTGATGCTCTGTTGCTGCTGAACAGTAGAACATGGCTTTTCTATTTCTTTTAAAGGTTTGTTTGTTTGTTGTTTGTTTTGGTTTTTCAAGACAGAGTTTCTCTGAGAACTTTGGAGGCTGTCCTGGAACTAGCTCTTGTAGTCCAGGCTGGTCTCGAACTCACAGAGATCCTCCTGCCTCTGCCTCCAGAGTGCTGGGACTAAAGGCCTAGCTAAAGGTTTTTTGAGACGTGGTCTTGCTATGTAGTTCAGGATATCCTTGAACTCTAGATCTTCTTGTCCCAGCCTCCTGAGTGCTGGATTATTGGCCTGAAAATCTCTTGCTGTTCTGATGGTCTCTGAATCCAAGGATCTAGCCCATGTTTTCTCTGTAGCTCCTGAGCAGGCTTCCTGTTGTCCCCAAGACAATGGGCGTGTTCATTGTGTTGAAGGGCAGCCAGTGGGTGGGTCTTCCTACTCTCTTGTCATTCTCGTTTTTTTTCAGAGTTGGTGTCTTTCCTTTAGAGATGGCATGACATGTAGCCCAGGCTGGCTACAAACTTGCTATGTAGTTGGGTATGACTGTGAACTTCTGATCCTACTGTCTACCTCTCAAGGGATGTGACTACATATACGAACCTCCATGCCTGGCTTCCAGGGGTTATTTGAAAGTGGAATTTCCATTTTACCTCAGTTCCACCCACCCTGGTATACTTTCATAAAGCCAATCTGGCTTTGTTGTTTTTCAAGATAGAGTTGTGGTGGTAGCACAGGCTTTAGGGTTCAGCCTTTGAGCTGTTCTTCTGTAATAACCACTCAGCAAGTGTTAGGCCAGAGGAGGGAAGAGAAACCTGGAGGGAACCTAGTGAAAACTAGTAGAGAGCAGAAGGGGAAGGGTGTCCTATGGGAGTTGCTGGGTCTAACGGTCACCGGCACCTGCTTGATTTGGGAAAAGATTATGTCCTGGCTCAGGGATGGAGTGGCCACCTCAGGGACTGTTCCTTCAGTTCTGCCCATTCTCTGCTCTGTTGCATTTGGGACTGCTAAAGGACAGGTCAGCTTCTGCCTTTGTTTTATGTCCCTAGTTGGAGGGTTTTTAGATTAGGGCCGTCTTTGAGATAGTTTAGCATTTCCACATACCTGTAATTCTCTCATTCATCTCTCTTCTCCCTGTCTCCCTGTCTCCCCCATCTCTGACTCTGTCTTTGTCTCTGTCCTGGGACTTGAACCCAGGACCTAGTGCATGCTGGCATATACTCATGGACTCCACATCCCAGTCCTGTGGCCTGCCTTAACACTGTCAGCATGGCACACATACCTGACTTTTTTTCTGCTCAGGATTTAGAATCAAAGTAAATGTGAAAGTTAAATTTTATCTATGTGTCCCCTTGGGCCTTCCCTGTTGTTTTCCTTTCTTCTTTCTAGCTTCTTCCTTCTTTCCTCCTCCTTTTTTTTTTTTCTGTTATTGTACCTGGTATTCTTCAGACTGTATTAAGGTAGCATAAGTAGTCCAAAACAGACTGCAAGTAAACATACAGAATTCAAGTTTGCCCATGGTTTGGCTTATTCATCTGTGGAGTTGCCCTGTCCTCATGCTTGCATGTTCCCATACTTTTGATGGAAGTGTTAACTTTTTTTTTTTTAATTTTGTGTGTGCTGATGTTTTGCCTTCATGTATGTCTGTGTGAGAGTTTCAAATCTTGGAGTTACAAACAGTTGTGAGCTGCCATGAAAGTGTTGGGAATTGAACACTGGTCCTCTGGAAGAGCAGTCAGTGCTCTTAACCACTGAGCCATCTCTCCAGCCCATTGCCTTCTTTTTCAAAGCAATGTAGCTGGTTGATTTTTGGGTGTCCTTGCTCTGCTCAAATTCACAAAAACCCACATTCTTTTCTTTGCAGCCCAGGGACATGGTGCCAAAGGAGACAATGTCTATGAATTTCACCTGGAGTTCTTAGACCTCGTGAAGCCAGAGGTATGCTTTCTGTTTTCTCATAGCCTTTCCATTTAGGAAATGCATAGTAGTAGTTAGTGAAACAAAGGGCAGGTTCTGAGGATGAAGAGCAAAGGGGAGTGATACCATTCCATTTGGAACAGAACTCTGGCTTTAGCTGCAGAGGAATGGGAACCCTGGGGGGTGAGGGGCAGGTCTGAGCAGCATCTGGTTTGGGCCATTATTTGTGATGTGAACTTCCATTTTTCTCATGTGTTAATAGATGAAGGCTCAGGTGAAATCTCTGGATCCCTCCCAGGTCTGGTGTTCTCTTATTTTAGTGATGGCAGGGGAGAGTAGGGTGACAGGTGGTTGAAGTCCTCACCATGAGGCTCTCATGAGATTCAGTCACTCTGGCAGTAAGGAACATAGTAAGCAGAAAGGATGAAGGAAGGTAGCTGGTCTTGAAAAAAAAATGCTGGGAGTATAAAAGCAGTTTCTTTTAGCCCCAGGAAGCTGATGATTCTGGATTCAGATTTCTTGCTTGGGGGCTTGTGTTCATGGATCTACTTGTGCAGGGCCTTGTTCTGAAAGAGCTCAAATAGTCAGCCCTGGCATAGGGCCTGAGAACATGTCATGGGCCTGCCATGGAGACAGTGAAAAGCTAGAACAGAATGAGAGAAAGACACTGCTGCTCTTACCAGCTGTTCCTTGCAGCAGCCCTTGGTCTAGAATACTCCCCATGTATCAGACCTTGCAGAAGCAGAGCAGGAAGAGGAGGAAGCACCATGCAGCTTCTCCGTGGAGCCATACCAACATGGTGCAGTCAGTGCATGGAAAAGGAGTTCTCACACTCACTGTCTCTCCTAGCCAGTGCACAGGCTGACCCAGAGGCAGGTGAACATCACAGTCCAGAAGAAGGTGAGTCAGTGGTGGGAGAGGCTCACCAAGCAGGAGAAGCGCCCACTGTTTTTGGCCCCTGACTTTGATCGCTGGCTGGATGAATCTGATGCAGAAATGGAGCTGAGAGCCAAGGTGAGTAAGCATGCTAGCCCTTGTTGCTGAAGATGGAAGTCGTGAGGGTTTGATAGAATGGACCCACATTACACATTGACGTGGAGGCCTGGCAACATGACTGTAGAGTACTCATCATGTCAGTGTGGTAGGCTGCTTCACTTAGGGTTCATATGGTGTTTACCCCAGAGCCAGGCTAAAGAGATGGTTTCTGCGGAGAGAGGTAAAATACCATTCTTATCACTTGTCAAAGATACACAGAATCAAAAGGCAGAGCACTGCTGGCCAAGGCAGTGCTTACCAGGGTCCTCTCCCCGTTCTTCACTACTCTTTGGAAGAAGTCACTATGTGGATCACACACCCTTTCAGAGTAGGGAGAAGTTTCCATATCATTTGTTTGAAAATTTTCTATGTGAAAAAATTTCCTGTTCTCTCCCATTTCTTTATTCAGTCATTTCCATTATTTTATGCTTAGGATTATAATCTAACACTGTTTTCATTGATCAAATCATTCCAGCTGTGGCCATCGAAGACCCTTTCATTTCACCCATTGTAGGATATTTTTTTTTCTTTTCTTTTCTCTTCACTCTTTCTTACTTTCTGGCATTCTATAACCTACCCCAGGTATAGCTTATATATATCCTTTGTTTCAGTCCTAGAATAACCATTTCTTTAAGGAGCTGCCTTTTTTCTTTTTTTCTTTTTTTTTTTTTCACTTTATGTATATTGATATTTTGTCTGCATGTAGGTCTGTGCCCACAGAGTCCAGAAGAGGGCATCAGATCCCCTGGAACTGGAGTTACAAATGGTTTTGAGTCACTGTGTGTGTACTGGAAATCTAACCCAGGTCCTTTGAAAGAGTAGCCTTTGCTCGTAACTACTGAGTCATCTCTCTAATCCAAGCTGTGTTATTTTTGGAGAGTGATATTAACAGCCAGATCAATTGACAGTGAGGAAATACAGGTGTGCATACTCACACATACATATACTTAGAAATACAACTTTTGCTGTATATTAAGCTAAACATAAGCTTACACTGAAGTTGGACAGTGGTTAAGAACAAGAGCGCTTGCAGAGGATCTGAGTTCTGTTCCCGGCGCCCACATCAGATAGCTAACAACCCCCTGTAACCCCAGCTCCAGGGGATCTGGTGCCCTCTTCTGGCCTCCTCTGGTGCGCGCGCGCGCGCGCACACACACACACACACACACACACACACAGAGAGAGAGAGAGAGAGAGAGAGAGAGAGAGAGAGAGAGAGAGAGAGAGAGAGAAAGAGAGGTACATATGTATATATATACTTAAAAGTAAATAAATAAAATCTTAAAAGAAAAGAAGTCTGAAACAGCACTTCCTGCCTTCAGCTACTGTTCCTTTGGTGCTCTAACAAGTCTACAAAGGGTGTCCTTTGTAGCTGTAAGAGTACACGATTGCCCCAGGCAGTCTGGAAACTAGCCAATTAGCCATTGGTTGAGTAAATATCCTATCCTGAAAGCTGTGATTTGGAACAGTCTCCTCAGCAGAGCATAGAGCACAGTGGAGGAGGTGGCCTGATATGTCAGAATTCTTTGCCAGCACCTGGCCTTTTGTAAGCATACAAGAATTCTAACTTGTATTCTTGGATGTTTAAATTCTAGGAGGAAGAACGCCTAAATAAACTCAGACTAGAAAGTGAAGGCTCCCCTGAAAGTAAGTGCCTGAAAGTGGCTACCAATTAACTTGTGATGGATTTGGGGGTGGTAGGGATGGCAGGCGAGTGGGGAATTCACCCTAATGAATGCTTGGGTGAGTCTGTTTAGTTTTTAGCTATGAACACACACTAAAGCCTCACCTTTAAAGATGTTTCCTTTCTGTTTGGGACTAACCTTGTCTGAGTAAACCAAGGCTAATGTAGCAGACAAGAACCTTGGTCTCCTGGTCCAATGGACTAGGGGCAGATGGCACCCAAACCTATATCCTGGTGTCTCCTCTCACTTGAAGTCTGAAGGGCTGTGCCATAGATGCTTGTGGTTATCACCTCTCAAAATGGAAAGTGTTTGCATGAGTGTCTATGTACCATGTGCATTTAGGGTGCTCGAGGGAGCCAGAAGAAGGGATTGTATCTCCTGGAGTTACAGATAGTTGTGATCTTCGATGTGGGTGCTGAGAACCAAACCAGGGTCTTCTACAATAGTAGCAAGTAGTCTCAACCACTGAGCTGGCTCTCTAGCCCCTATTCAGAGTTGTTGTTGTTATTATAGTTGTTATTGTTGATATAAGGTCTCACTTTGTAGTCCTGGCTGGCCTAGAATTCTATAGGTAGATCAGGCTGGTCTGCCTGCCTCTGCCTTCCGAGTGCTGGGATTAAAGGCATATGCCACCATGCCACCCTGCCTGGCTATTCAGAATCTTAGAAAAAAAATCATTGTATCTAACCAAATGTTTAATAGAAAGAAGGTCTATACGTGTTTTGGTGATGGTGCAGCAGCTGCCTGTTACACATGCTGCCTGGAAAAGCACCAAAGCAGCTCTAGGTGGGGTCTGGGTGAGTTAACTGTAGGCACCATCCTCAAGAACTGGTGCTCTAATGGTAGGCTCATATAGGACTATGGGAAATTGCTTGTGAGCAACAGAACGAGACGAGGCTCAGTGTTCATCCTAATCAAACATTTGCAAGGGCATTATTTGGCATGCCATAAGTAAGGAACCGTTTAGAGAAGTGGTTTCCAAATTGTGTTCTGTGGTACCTCAAGGGTTCCCAGAAATGCTTTGGAGGAGTAGATAGGTCTTTCCAGAAGCTCTGCTTTAATTGACACAGATCTTGTGTTTTATACATTAAGGTTCTGAGTGTGCATGTGTGTTGGGTGCTTTAAGTGAGTTTTAAAAAAGATTTGAGTGGCCACTAATTTAGAGAAATAATCTTCAAAGAGTAAAAAAATAGTCTCTAAAGAGGATTTGTGGAGGCAAAGAACAATATAAGAAGCCACCTTGAGTGGGTGAGGTGGTGGTAAACTGCCTTTAATCCCAGCACTCGGGAGACAGAGGCAGGTGGGTGTCTGTAAGTTCAAGACCAGCCTGGTCTACAAAGTGAGTTCTAGGACATCTAGGGCTACACAGAGAAACCCTGCCTCAAAAAACAAAACAAAACAAACAAATAAAAAAAGAAGCCACCTGATGAAGATTTTGCTGCTGTCCTCTGATCCCCTACACTTGAGCCATGGTGCATGCACCCAACTCCCTAACAATAACAACAATTTTTTAAAAAAGATTTTATTTATTTATTTATTTATTTATTTATTTATTTATTTATTTATTTATTTATTTATTTATTTATTTATTTATTTATTTATTTATTTATTTATTTATTTATTTATTTATTTATTTATTTATTTATTTATTTATTTATTCATTTATTCATTCATTCATTCATTCATTCATTCATTCATTCATTTATTTATTTATTTATTATGTATACAGTCTTCTGCCTGCATGCCAGCAGAGGGCACCAGATCTCATTTAAGGTGGTTGTGAGTCACCTTGTGGTTGCTGGGAATTGAACTCAGGACCTCTGTAAGAACAGTCAGTGCTCTTAACCGCTGAGCCATCTCTCCAGCCCTGTTGTTTTGTTTTTTTGTTTGTTTTAATTTTTGAGACAAGTTGGTGCTTTTCTCCTGAGCTGGCCAAGTCTACGAAAGGAGGCTGGTGAACATACATGTTGGCAGGCAATGATCAATATATTTTCTTTATGGGAGAGGGAGCCCAGGCTAGGAAGACATAGGCCAGATATTTGTGTGGTAGCTTAGAACCACCCAGGTGAAAGAAAGGGTTGGAGTTCCAGAGCTTCTCTCTGGGTTGTATTGAGTATCTCACTTCCCTACTTTGCTTTTCAGCCCTTACAAGCTTGAAGAAAGGGTACCTGTTCATGTATAACCTTGTGCAGCTTCTGGGCTTCTCCTGGATCTTTGTCAACCTGACAGTGCGGTTTTTTATTTTAGGAAAAGGTAAGTATGAAATTTTTGAGGTAGCTGTCTCTGCCTTTGACAGAACAGTCACCTTGCTCTTCCTACCCTTCCCCATGAGCCCATAGCACTCATTTCCCAGTTCCTGGTGAGACAGACTGGCTGGAGCAGCCCTAAAGACTTCACTTCTGCAGATGTGCTCTATGGAAACGAGCTAGAGACAAAGTTTCTTCAGATGTGATATACATGGCATTAAGTTAGAAACTCCCCACATGTCTTTATCAGTGAGGAATTTCTGTGGAATATTCACTAGTGTGATATTGTGAAGCATATAGACAGTTAACAATAGCATGGAACAACACTTATGAGAGGCTAAAATTAATGCATAGATTATTTTTTCTTGTTTGATCATAACCATATAAAAGAGGAAGTAACCAGACCAGCTTGCAAACTGGTACATTCAAAAAGATTAGAATGCACTTTTCTAATAACTTGAATGTAGATGTTTAAAAGTTCAATTTCTTTTGTAAAGTAGGTATGGGGAAAATATAACTATAATAGAAAATGTAAACTGTTTGAAAAGAAAAATGAGTTCTTTTAGAGCATCCTTCTGTTTGGCCCTGGGTTTTCCATCTGCAGTTCATGACAGCTGAGCTGTTTACCTGGGGAGTCTATTGAAAGAGGAGGAACTGTGAGTTGTTTTTACAGCCCCCAACACTGGGCTTTGCACACACAGTGACAGGCTAGAAAGGCCACATGCCCAAGGGCTTACAGTTGCCTGTGACTGGAGGCCTCTGTGTGATCACACCAGAGAATGAAGGAGTCTCAGATCTCTCGTTATTAGGATGACTTTATCAGAAGCCACAGGGATGGAAAGCAGGGACCTTTAGATACATAAATGCTTGCCTTGTTAATCCTAAGATGGTGGGTGAATTCTGAGTGTTCTTGGTAAGTCTCCTGGTTATAGGGCTGGCAAGATGGCTCAGAAGGTAAGGGTGCTTGCTGGCTGCCAATCCTGAAAATCTAGCTCTATTACCCACAAGGTGGGAGGAGAGAATTGACCTTGGAAATTGTTCTCTGACAATCACATGCATGCCATGGCATGTGTGCAGCAATACACACATACATGCATGCTAAATGTCATAAATAGTATGTTTGCTTGTTTGTTTGTTTCAAGACAGGATTTCTCTAAGTAGCCCTCCCTGGCTGTCCTGTAACTCACTCTGTAAATGAGGCTGTCCTCAAACTCAGAGATCTATAATGGTGCTTTTTCATTGGGACTGACTGCCAGCTAGCCCACAAATAATGACACAGAAGCTTATTATTATGAAAGCTTGGTCTTAGTTTAGGCTTTTTTCCAACTAGCTCTTTTTTGTTGTTGTTTTTTCAAACAGGGTTTCTCTGCTTTGTAGACCAGGCTGACCTCGAACTCACAGAGATCCTCCTGCCTCTGCCTCCACAGTGCTGGGATTAAAGGTGTGTGCCACTACTGCCTGACCCCAACTAGCTCTTCTAACTTAAATTAACATGTTCTTATTTATCTACATCTGCCACATGGCTCGGTTACCTCTGCTCCGTACTGTGTGTCTCATCTCTTAAGTGTCTCCCTGACATCCCACTGATGTAATCTGCTCACCTAGATTTCTCCTCCTCTTCCCCTCTCTCCCCAGAAATCCCGCCTATTCTCTCCTGCCCTCCCATTGGCCATTTAGGTCTTTATTACACCAATCACAACAATACATTTTCACACAGTATACAAATATTCCACAACATAGATCCACCTGTTATGCCCAAGTCACATGGATTCCCAAAGACCACCAGGGAGACAGACCCACTGAACTACAAAAGCAAGGTTTCTTGTTCATCCAACCATGACAGGGACCTCATCTGGTTAGCTCATACAGCAGCCACCAGAGGAAGTGGAGTTCCCTGTCTACTGCTAGGTTCTTAAAGGAAAAAATCATAGGATTACATCAGTAGGTACAGGTTGGTTTCTGATCGGTTGACATTTGGGAACAATTAGGGGAATTTTTTAAAGTGATATTTTGGCATGAAATATCTGTGTACCAGGTATTCTCATTGGTCAGTGCTGAGAGGGAACATTCTGTGGTTTCTGTGGGTTTGTTACTTGCAGGTGGCCTGTTGTTCATAGATACCAATAGTTTTTAGAATTGTATCCTGGAGACTGCAGGGGAGTTTTTGCTCTTCCCTGGAGTTTCTTTTGTGGCCAAACAGTTCCCAGGAACCAAGTATCTAGGAGGCTGGGGGTGGGGGATCTGGAGTTTCTTTGTGTTCAGTTTTGGCCCTATCCTCTGGGAGGCCAGGGGATCTGGAGATTTTGTGTGTGTGTGTGTCATGTGCTGAGTCAGAGGCCTACATGTCTTTTCTGTAGCTTGTCATGGTTGCTAAAGCAGGGGGCCAAGTGAGGGTCTGGTCCCTTCGTGCCTGCCTCTGCCTCCTGAGTGGTGGGATTAAAGGCAATGCACCACCACCATCCACTGTCATGAAGAATTTTAAGACAGCTGGATATAAAGTGATTCAGTCCAAAGGCTATCAAGTTGCCAGATGTGGTAGAACAGGCCTATTGGATCACTGGTGATCAATTCTCAACTATAGTTTGCTTTTCTGTGGACCCTCTTAACTGAGTATTAGTTACGAATACATGGATAATTATCGTTTCTGCCAGTGGATTGATTTCTCCCTTCCTTCTTGTTGTGTTTTGTTTTTGTTTTTATTTTTCAGGACAAGATTTCTCTGTGTATTCTTGGCTGTCCTGTAACTACTCACTCTGTAGACCAGACTGGCCTCAAATTCAGAGATACTCTCTAGTGCTGGGATTAAAAGTGTGCTCCACCATTGCCTGGTTCTTTCTTTTCTTTTTTGTTGTTGGGGTTTGGTTTTGGTAAATGGGCAATAGGAGGGCAGGAGAGGATAGGCAGGATTTCTGGGGGAGAGAAGGGAAGAGGAGGAGAAATCTAGGTGAGCAGATTACACCAGTGGGATGTCAGGGAGACACTGAAGAGGTCGGGCATATAGTACACAGGAGAGGTAACTGAGCCATGTGGCAGATGTAGATGAATAAGAACAGGTTAATTTAATTGGAGGTATTTGTTGTTGTTGCGGTGATTTAGGGGTGCTATTTGTATTCAGTAGGTGGAGGCCAGGAATCCCCCACTTTCTGCAATATGCAGTACAAAGTATGGTCCCACCTAGAATATCAGTGGTGCTTGGCTTAGAAGTGCTGCAAGGAAGAATACAGAAGCAGCATGTCCAGGAGGCCTGAAGACAGGCCTCCCAAGAAGTGCTGCCCATGTGTGAGCCTCATGCAAGCACTAGTGGCCATTTTGAATTTTTATCAAATAATTTACTCGAAAGGTCTGTACTCTGAGAATTTAGACCGTTTATAGAGAAATGCACTTAGAAATGTTTCGGAGGACAACCTTGTATTAATAAGGCCTTTAAGACCACTATTTCCTTTTAATTAGGATAGATTCTCAGGATGCTAAGACTTATTAACCCTAAAGCTACAAACACAGTTAAGGCTTTTGAAATCTAATTTTATTTTTAGGGATTGGAGAAATGACTCAGTAGTTAAGAGCACTGACTGTTCTTCCAGAGGACCTGGGTTTGATTCCCAGCAGCCACACAGCAGCTCACAACTGTCTGTAAGTTCAGCTCCAGGTGATCAAATGCCCTCTTCTGGTCTCCTTTGGTACCAGACATACATTTAGGCCAAACTACCACATTAAAAGTATGGTAATAATAACTAATAATTAACTTTAAGACTTCATTTTTAAAAGTGTGTGTGTGTGTGTGTGTGTGTGTGTGTGTGTGTGCATGTACGAATACGTGCATGTGAATGTAGGTGCCCTTGGAGGCATGAAGAGAGATGGATCTCCTGGAGTTGAGTTATAAGTGGTTGTGAACTTCCCGACATGGGTGCTGGTTACCAAACTCAGGTACCTCTATAAGAGCAATATGCGCTTCTAACTGCTGAACCATGGCTATAGCCTTCCTGAAGCCTAATTTTAGTGAATAATTTTACCTCTGCACCTATGTGTAATTGAATTTTTCATTGCCCATATAATATAGATGATAATTAGCTTTGAATTAGAAGAGGTGACGGTCTAAGAAGAATGACCATTTTTTCTTGTACATTGCTTTCTTTTTTCAATAGGTAGTAACAGAATGAAAGTGAGGCTTGTTGTTTTCTTTGTTATTTTAACCAGGAGAAGGGGACATGGGGTCTTTGTGTTCACCTTCTAGAGATAAAGGAAGCTCTTTCTTCTGGGAGTCTTGAAGCCTGTCCTGGCTTAGGCTAGAAGCATGAAACGACTCCATGTCTGTTTTCTCTCCCAAGTTCTTTTCCTGTAAGGCATGCTCTAGTTTGACAACTGCCTCTGCTAGGACTCACGGTGGACTGACCAGTCATGTATGCTTGTGCCCTAGAGTCCTTCTACGACACGTTCCACACCGTGGCTGACATGATGTATTTCTGCCAGATGCTGGCGCTAGTGGAAACTCTCAATGCTGCGATTGGTGTCACGAGTTCCCCAGTGCTGCCTACTCTCATCCAGGTATAGAAGATTTGAATGTGAGAGTGAGGAAGGAAAGGTTTCAGTATGTATCTAGTAGATAGGTCATAATTTGCTGTTTCAGTTATTAAACATACTTCCTTATTTACATAGAATGTCACTATTTTATTTCAGCATCTAGGGAAATTTAATTTTTTTTTTCTTAAAGTCAGGGTCTCTCTAGTCCTGGCTGTCCTAAAATTTACTATGTAGACCAGTCTGTCCTTGAACTCAGAGATCTCAGGAAGCAGGGAGGAGTTTCCTTGTTGCTCTTTGAGGAAAGACTGAAGAATCAGGCCCAGTACTTAGTTGAAGTGGTTTGATGGAAAACATTTTCTGTGTAAAGTAATCATGATCACTAGACTTCACAAAAAAACACTGAAGAGAATTCTTTTTGAGGAAACTTGGCAGGTTAGGTATTGGACAAACGTGCATGCTGCTAATGTAGACACAGGAAGGAAATGCCTTTGAGATGAAACCACTGAAAAACAAAGTGACTCTGGGCATGCTGAGCTGGGCTGCATATCCACAGAACTCACAACCTGAGTTTTAAGTATCACAAGGTATAGGGAATGTGAAGTAGAGGAGGGAGAGTCTTCCCTCATACAGCAGCGACTCCAGGGAGCCATTCATGAAGGTGAAATAAAAAGCTTGCCCTCTCCCCCAGTCTTGTCAGTAAAAACCTTCGATCTGAAGTGTTGGCCCTTCCAAAGGAAGGGCATGTGCTGTTTGTGAGCTGGCATGGTGGCACAAGCCTGTAAACCCAGTACTCAGGTGATTAAGACGGGAGGGTTTGAGTGCTGGGCTAGTCTAGGGTGGTAGGAGGTGAGATCTGTCCCAACAAAACGAAAGACCCACAAGGATCTGTGATAGAAATTCTTGTCTCCTTGCTATTTGCATGATCCTCGGGTTATATACATTAATGTGATCCTCAACTGCTGCTACCCTCAGATTCCTAAAGAGGCAAATAGACCTCTTCTGTTGAAATTACCTTTGGGAACCTGGAGAGACAGCTCAGTGGTTAAGAACATCTTGTAGAGGATCTGAGTTTGGTTCTCAGTACCTGGTTGCCCAGCTACTTTTTATTCCAGCTCCTGGGGATCTTGTGCCTGTGGCCTCTGAGAGCACCTGCATTCATATATACATTATTAAAAATAAAATGAATCTTTAAAAGAATCTTTGTCAAGCCTCAAAGAATCTACAGAATTTGTTTTCAAAAAAATTGAGAGGTTTTCAAACAAAGATTATAAAACCGAAGAAACAAGACATTGTGGGCAAGAAACAGCAGACTGTAGGACATAGCCAGAGGAACTGCAGCTATGAGAGTTAGCATTGCAGAATAGAAATTCATGTGGCCAAGCATATCTTTAATCCCAGCACTTGGGAGGCAGAGGCAGGTGGATCTCGGAGTTCGAGGCCAGCCTGGTCTACAGAACTAGTTCTAGGACATCTAAGGCTACACAAGGAAACTCTGTCTTGGGGGAAAAAAAGGTAAAAAGAAAATATTCATATATAAGGAGAATTTGGCTTGGAGCAAGAAAGTAAAAGGGAAGCAGATTTGAAAAGAAGGGAAATAAAAATTCTATTAATGAAAATATAGTGATCAATGGTTACCGTTTAAAAATTTTAGGAGTATATTAGACTTAGCTGAAGAGAAAATTAGTGAACAACTTGCAATACAGGAGGAACAGAGAACACAAAGTATACAAACATAGTTTTCTTCAATTGTAAAACTCAATATTCTAAGGATGTTCTCATACTTACTGACATATTAAGTTCAGTTCCAATAAAGAATGTTTTGAAATGTGCTAAGAAAATTGTAAAGCTTTGTAAAAAGGCGAAACTTAGCATTGCTTATAATAAGTACAAGTGCAGGCAACCTAGATGCTTGTTGATGGCTAAATGGAAAAGGAAAACATGGTGTATTATTCAGTCTCACAGCTAAGGAAAATCCCCCCAAGACAGAGTTTTTCTGTATATCCCTGGCTGTGCTGGGATTAAAGGTGTGTGCACCACTGCCTGGCATACTAAGGGAAATTTTGATACATGCTACATCAGGGTTGGATCCTGAGTACACTGTGCTAAATGAAATAAGTCAGTCAGTGAAAGACAAATGCTGTATCATTTTCCTTACATGATGTATTTAGAATAGTAAAAAATCAGAGACAGAAAGTAGAATAGTGGTTTCAAAAGGTTGGGTGAATGGAGGGTCATTGTTGAGTTATAGTGTCAGTTTTTTTTTTTAAAGATTTTATTTATTTATTATGTATACAACATTCTGCTTCCATGTATATTTCCACATCAGAAGAGGGCACCAGATCTCATTACGGATGGCTGTGAGCCACCATGTGGTTGCTGGGAATTGAACTCAGGACCTCTGGAAGAGCAGTCAGTGCTCTTAACCTCTGAGCCATCTCTCCAGCCCCTATAGTGTCAGTTTTACAAGATGAAAAAGTTCTGGAGATGGACTGTGGCGATATTTGTACAACATGATAAATACATTTGATAACACTGAACTATATGTGGTTACCATAAGGCTAAGTGTGGTGGTACGTGGCTTTAGTCTCAGCACTCAGGAGGCAGTGTCAGGTAGATCTCTGTGAGTTCCAGGCCAGCCAGGACTACATAGCATAACATTGCCTCAAAAATAAATAAATAAATAAATAAATAAATAAATAAATAATAGTTAAGTGTATGTTATCATGACTTAAAGAAATGAGATGATGGTTGGGTGTGGTGGCACATTCTTGTACTTCAGCTACTCTAAAGAGTTTGGGAGCTACAAAAGCAAGTTACAGAGTAATACATATAGCATGAATTCTAAAGAGCTGAACGATAGGCTCAGGAGGGTGGAAGAGATGGCTCAGTAGTCAGTAGTCAGCTCTTTCAGGGTACCTGAGTTTGGTTTCCAGTACCCATGTCAGATGGCTTATAGCCATCTGTAACCCTAGCTCTAGAATATTCAATTCTGCCTCTGGCTGCCACAGGCACCCACATAGAAGTCTCTCTCTCTCTCTCTCTCTCTCTCTCTCTCTATTTCTCTCTCTCTCCATACACACACACACACACACACACACACACACACACACACAATCTTAAAATATTTCCATGAAATAGCCTATTATGTAACACATATACACAAGCAGTAGGCTGTATAGACAAGCGGAACGATGAGCATAGGACAACATTACATATAATACACAGTTATCGGGTTTGTAACTCTCTGTTCCTAACTGTGGGTTGTGTAGGCACCAATATTCATTGGCAGTATCCTTTATATTGTGTTTGTGTGTGTGCTTTTGGTACTGGAGAAACGGAGAATAACTCGATGTTCTAAGGATCTACTAAATGTGCTTTGGAAGTATTAAGTTACACAGAGCAGAATTTAGCTAAAGAAATGCTCCTGGTTCTCTTATCAGGAATCGCATGATTTTGCCAGGCAGGCAAGATGACCCTGGATTAATAGCTATCTGGTAAAACAGCCCTGATTTGTCTGGAGACAACTCTGACAGTATTTTACATTGGAAATCTTCCTATTTGTTCAAACAACATACTTTGGGATTTCTGTTTCTGTGAGACATTTTTAATTGCTCAAAGTGTAACTTGGGTTCCTGAAATATAAGCTGAGGGGTTTCTGCTCAGGACTGGTTCCCTTTTGTGCATTAGCCAGAACCAGTTTTACACTGTTATTAAAGGGTTTCCCTTTATTAATTTCTTTTTTTCCCTTTATTAATTTCTAAGTGGTGGAGTGATTTCTCACTGGAAAGGCATAATCTATACCACTTTAATGTGCACATTATATAGATGATATATTTATATACACAGAGAAGTACTTATTTATCTACAAAGACTGGTTTGGATAATTTTTCTAATACTCTAACAAGGGACCATGAAATGGCTCAATGAGTAAAAGCTCAAGCCTAACAAATCATGTAGTAAGAGAAAACTGACTGCTGCAAGCATACTCATTTCCACCCACATACACACACAAAATAAAACATTAAAAAATGTTTAAAAGGGCCCTTTTGTAGTTACATGTATGCATACACTGTGGATATGCAGACAGATATATAGGTATATGCACACACAGATACACACAATATTTAAATTTTCTCTCTCTTTTGGGTCTCTTTTAATAGTTTCTTGGAAGAAATTTTATTCTGTTTATCATCTTCGGCACCATGGAAGAAATGCAAAACAAAGCTGTGGTTTTCTTTGTGTTTTATTCATGGAGCACAATTGAAATTTTCAGGTGGGTAGAAATGGTTGCCCCTCTCTGGAGTGGATGTTGTTGCTTTGGCTGGAAGTTTCATTTGGCTTGGGACTAGGATTATACATGTAAGAACTCTAGCTACATCAGTGAGCTCTGCTTTAATTAGAGCCCAATCTAAAAACTACAACTTCAAGGTCTTACTGTTGTGTTGGAAAGACCCAAGGCCCATCCATGAGGGAAATACTTGAAAAGGTTGGAGGGGCACAAGGTTGAAGCAGCAATCCAGGTGGATGGGGTTAGTTAAGAGAGCCTTCCTGAGGTATGGTAAGCTCTTACTCGAGAGTACTCAAGTCTTGAGTTTAGCTCAGCTATTTTTTTTTTTTCACTCTGAAATGTCAGTAAAAAATAAATACCCTTTTGAAAAATTGATTCAATGTCCAGTATTATAGTAGTTCCAGAACTCAAAGGCTGATTCAAAAACAAAATGAAATCTATCCAGTTGTGTGTGTTCCTTTTTAAACCACACCATTCAGTGTCTGCTTTCCTCATTGAGTTATATGCAGTAAGGCTTTTGCAGATTGCTTCCTCAGCGCTAGGTTTGTGTAGTGAGTTTGAGAGTTCATGGTGCAGTGGAAAGGGGCAGTGGTGTTTGAACCATGTGTTACCTGTGCCTGGGTCTGTACCCTCAGGCATGCTGGATGCAAAGGATTGAAACAGATTTAAGAACCTTGATTTTAAACATTTTCTATTTAGGAAAGGATGAATTTCTTGTGATGTTTCTTTTATTTATTTATTTTCAGACAGGGTCTTATTACATAGATGAGGCCATCCTTGAACTCAGAGATCTGCTTGCTGCTACCTCCTCTGAGCTGGGACTAAAGGCATGCACTATAATGACTAGTGTTAGATGTCTCTTTAAAATTGGGCATTTCTGATTCTAGATTAGAGGTTTTGTATAATTTTTTAGAACCATTCATTTATCCAGAGGCAGAGTTTGGCACTGGGAATATAGTTAAGAACTAGGAATAAAGCCAATTAGGTTCTAAGCATCCAGCATGTAGCTGAACAAAGAGGGTTCCTTGAAGAGTAAACTGAGCTGCCAGTAGAGCTCACATCCTTTGTGGAGTTGGAATGGAGTCTGATGGGAGTTTGTGAATAGCTAACCCAGGACTGTAATTCTGTTGTGAAGCCACATGCTGCAGGAAGCAAACTCTTTGGTCTTTGTGAATGCTTGTCTAGGGTCCAATTCAGAACCTACAGTGGCCCTTATCACTGAACTCTATTCTCCATAGGTACCCCTTCTACATGCTTTCCTGCATCGACATGGACTGGAAGGTGCTCACGTGGCTCCGTTACACTGTGTGGATTCCCCTATACCCGCTGGGATGCTTGTCAGAAGGTATTTTTAGAAACTTTAGGTCTCATAGTGTAGCTCCCAGGGGTGCCCAAGGGGCTAAAAGGCTGGTTTTTCTGCTTCTGCCAACCCTGGCCTACTCAGGGTGATGTTAAGACTGTACAGGGATTTCTTTCTGATGACCTCTTTCCACACTTTTCGAACTGTTCCGGAGACATAAGGTTTAGAAACAAGATGCTCAAGTGCTGCAAGCTCTTTATTTACACGCTATTCTGGTACTCCAACATGAGGTCTTACTAGTAACTTCAGTTTATCTCGACAAAGCTCTAGTAAGTGGATCTGGCAGGCAGGATTCCCCCTTCTCCCTCTCTCTCTCTCTCTCTCTCTCTCTCTCTCTCTCTCTCTCTCCCTCCCTCCCTCCCTCCCTCCCTCCCTCTCTCTTTCTCTGTCGGTGAGGAAATAAGCTCAGTGCTAGGGCTGTTCTCATCAGTTTCTATCTACAGCTTTGAGGCAATGTAAGAGAGAGGTCAAGGGAGGAGGAAACTAGTCATGATGCCTCAGGCTGGAACTGAGGCCTGAGCTGCTGGAGGCTGTTGCTTCATGCACCTGCTGTTCTCACTGTCTGTCTGTTTCCAGCTGTGGCAGTGATCCAGTCCATTCCAGTATTCAACGAATCAGGAAGGTTCAGTTTTACTTTGCCATCTCCAGTGAAGATGAAAGTCAAATTTTCCTTCTTTCTTCAGGTTTATCTTGTAATGTTGTTCTTGGGTAAGTACTGGCTATGTATACACATTTCTGCCATGTTTTAGACAGGATAGCTAAGCAGTTCAGTTTTCAGCATCCTTGTTACAATTCTACTCTGAAGGAGCGGTGGGGGAAGGTTTTCTTGTGAAAACAGACTTGGTAGGAGAGGATGCTGCATGTGGAGATGTTTTCTCTCAGGTCTACAGTAGCTGAACTGTGACTGCTCTTGGGAGTCTGTCCTAGAAATGGATAGTGGGTTAACAGAACAGGTTTTGTCTTGATGGGTGGCCAAGGAGCTCCTCTAGAACAGTAGAAGACCATAGCTATACTGCCTATATTTTGACCTTCTTGGGGGCTGAGGCAGGGTTGCTTGAGCACAGGAATTTGAGACCAGTCTCAATAAAATATTGAAATAGAGCCCCCATCACATTTACTTCAGTAGCACATTAATTCCTCATCCACAAAGAACCGAGCAGTAGTGACGCACACTTTCAATCCTAGCACTTGGAGGCAGAGGTAGGAGGATCTCTGAGTTTGAGGCTGTGAGTGAATTCCAGGACAGCCAGGGATACACAGAAAAATCCTGTCTCTTGGAGGGGGAGAAAACAGAAAAGCAAACAAAAAGAGAGGTGAAAACATAGTTGGTGGCAAAGGAAGGAGGTGTAGTTATGGTCTCTGAGGTTCTTGGAAAGCTTCCTACTAATCATAACCACCTACTTAGTAGTTTACATTTGTATAAAACACAAATTTTATACAAAGTTTAAGGGGCTGGAGAGATGGCTCAGAGGTTAAGAGTACTGGCTGTTCTTCCAGAGGTCCTGAGTTCAATTCCCAGAAACCTCATGGTGGCTCACAATACACCTTCTCAAATAAAGGTGTACATGCAGATAGAGCACTCATATATAAAATAAATAAATCTTAAAAAAGCAACAAATATTAAAAAGAAAACTTTAATTCTTTGAAAGCCATCATAACTTTAAATGGATTCCCTTTAAACGTCTGTTTAGATTATGTGTATACCTGCTGTCTTAGTTAGGGTTTCTATTGCTGTGAAAGGACACCGTTATTGTCATGATGGGTAGCATGGCAGTGTATAGGCAGATGTGGTGTTGGAGGAGCTGAGAGTCCTACGTCTTGCAGGCAACAGGAAGTCAACTGAAAGTCACATTGAGGGAAGCTTGAGCAAAAGAGACCTCAAAGCCTGCTTCTATAGTGACACACTTCCTCCAACAAGGCCATACCCTCTCCAACAAAGCCACACCTCCTAATAGTGCCACTCCCTATGAGATTAGAGGGTCAACTACATTCAAACTACCACACCTATATTTGACTTAGTAGACTTAAATGAGTGTAGCAGTCTACGCTGCTGGTAACAGCAGGTTCAGCCACTGGCAGTGTATTAGTTCTCTTTGTGTGTAACAGATTATCAAGACTTAGCATCTGAAAAGCAAGTATTTTATCAGTTTCTGAGAGCCAGGAAGTGGCCGAGGAGGTGCTTTTGGTTCCAGGTCTCATAGATTTTGAGTCTCAGAGGCCTGCTGGGGCTGTAGCTTCCATAGATTAGACCCTTTTTATAGGCCAGAACATTAGTTCTGAGCTTATTCTTGTGGCTGCTCCTGACATGTCTTTACTGAGTGAGAGGAGGTGATTAGAGAGACAACCAGAAGCCACAGCACCTTCTGTAACCTAATAGTAGAAATGCATGCCATTATCCAGACTGGCAAGATATGAAATACCTGGAGGAGAGGGATCATAACGATCATCTTAGAGGCTGCCACCCTGAACAGCAAAATGAGCAGTACAAAAAGAGGTTAGAAAACCTAGTCATCTCTGTCACTTAGTGAGACCCATATGCCTTAGGATGCCCCCGGGATCTATTAAAAAAAGAGTTGGGAGTCCTGTGTGGTGACTCACATTTGTAATCACAGCAGCAGGGAGACCCAGGCAGCAGGACTGCCTCAAATTCAAGGCTAGTCTGGGTAACAGAGTAAGAATCTTCTCCAAGAAAAGGTAGAAACATTTTAATACATACTGACCCTATTATCTTTGCTTTGTTTTACTGTTGCTTAATTTGCAAGATATGTGTATATTCTTCTTCAAAATGAAGTAAATCCAAAACTCACAATTTCAGGGCTCAACCAGGTAGTGTATGTTCATAGGTCAAGGAATTTTTTATACACCATTCTTTCACAGTCAGTCTGTGAAGTGTTTTTATCCCTGTTGTACAAATGAGGAAACTGAAGTGAGGCTAGGCTGCAGAACTGACTCACTGGTCAAGTAGAACTGAAACTTGACTGTGAAATCCTGTTTCCTCACTTCCTGCATTGTACTTCTAGACTGCTGCTTACTAAACGTGTTCTTGAATAGCCTTGAAGTTTTTTGATTTGGGCACTTCATTAAATACATAAGGGGAAAAACAGGCAAAAAAGCAAACAAAGCCAACCCTTGAACTTAATCATTTATGTAGGGGTAAGCTGTACTGACGAACATATCAATATTAAAATGCCTCAAAAAATGATAGGCAGTCAGCTGAACAGATTATAGGTATGAGATTATAGGTATAAAGTATGATAAAAAGCCCAGAAGTTGTTCACGATACAGGATTTATCCTTGTCTAACCCTGAATGACAGAGCTGAGGAATGACACTGAGTGCCTGAGAAGGGTTGGGACACCTCAGTGCAGTACTGCTGGTGGGTTCTTAGGATGTATCTGAGCAATAAATTTAGTGCTGTGGGGCATGGGAAACAAACTACAGATACCTCTACTTCTAGTTACAATGACATTCCTAATCAGTGTTTTCTCTTTTTGCAGGGTTATATATTAATTTTCGTCACCTTTATAAACAGCGCAGGCGGCGGTATGGACAAAAAAAGAAAAAGCTCCACTAAAGAGAAATTTGGTAGCTTCGTGCCGGTTTGAGCTCAATCTATGATTCTTACTGTTTTACCTTCTTGTACTGTTGTAAAAGTTATTATTATTATTATTATTATTTTTAAGTAAGGCTATCTCCTTTCCCCAGTAACATTCCTGAATTTGCTGTATTCTATTTTGGTGTTGTACTTGCATGACATGGGTTTCTGATATCTGACAACAGTTCATTCCTGTGTAATGACAGTGAGACTGACCCCACCTTCTCCTGTCAGCCTGCTATTCCCCACAGTACTGTCCATCTTTACAGTTAGGACTTGGTCTTTCTGCTATTGCTTGTGAAAAACAAAAAACAAGACTACATTTCTCCATTGAAGATTGTCAATGACCCAGGCAGGACCTTATTATATCCAAGGGGTTACTTGTGTAGGAGGTAGAACTGACTTTTTGAAAATCAGGTAAACTTATTGATTAAACATTTTTGAGTCAGAGTAGGGCTGGAGAACACTTTGTATTTGATGTCTTTTGGCCTAAAGACATTCATTATGACAGCACTTATCAACATGAGCATCAAAGAGGCAGAGTGATTTAAAGAAAGAATCAGAACTTGGGAACCCCATGAATACTTCATTCCTAGCTAAATCAGAACTATCTGCAACACTGGAGAAAGAGGGAGCATTACTTGCAAAACACTGACATTTTAAGTTCCAAATGTGAATGAATGGCTGCAAGGTCAGAAAGGGACATAGATTTGGGAACTAGACAGGAACCAGCTGTTATAATGGAGCCTATGGCAAACACACATTAGTAGGTCAGACACACCTACAAGCTGTCTTGCTCTATAAACACAGAATCAGTCTACAACTCTTGGACTAGGTCAGTCCATTTACTTGTGTATTTCTCTGAGTAATTGGTGAGACTACTTTTTTGAACTTCAAACTCCTGTGTTTTTTTGTTTTTGTTTTTTAAATCTGTGTGCAGTAGGAACTTGCTGGGAAATTAACTGGATGTCTGCAGGAAACCCCCCAAAAGGGGAACTGAACAAAATCTAGACGTTAGGGTTGTCCATCGTATAAGACAGTGTCATCCTCTCTACATTCCATGTAAACCAAGTGATGACATAACACTATAACAAGAGCTTAAGGGGTACCAGTGTCTAGATCTGCCACTCCCAGTGTTCTTGGGGAAAGGAGACTTGTGTTGTCTCAATAAGCACAAAGTAGATTGGCATTAAACTGGCTGGTTTGACACACCCCATCTCATCGAAGAGTATTTTCCAGGTCTGCAGCTTCTGTCAACGTTTGTTGGTATTGCCTTCTGGTGTTCCTTCCACTGACTGTGGAGTGAGGGGCAGGTCAGCTTTACAGTCCACTGTGCGCATCCTTGTGCAAAATCCCATGTTCTAGTTGCTGTTAGCATCCCCTTTGTTGCTATCTGAGAAAGTGAAAGATTGTGTATTTCTATTAAAACATTTACAGTCAAAATCCTAACAATTTGCCCTTAAAGATTATTTAATGGTTTTCAAATGAATAAAGTCTTTGTGTAGGCAAAGTATTGCATAGTACTTCAGCCTGCTAAACCATAAGTGGTGACTCTGGTTGAAACCTGAGGTAGTGCTGAAGGCAGTCACAAAGCAGCCTGACTCTTCTATCAGTGCTCCCTCAGAACCACTGGCCAGAACCTGGCTAAGGTGTAAATCCTAATTGCCGACAGAAACTAGGAAGTTAATATGGAACCCAAGAAATGTCAAGAATTGGGAATCTTGACATTTTGGAAGCTGAATTATATTCAAGGGCTAAGATAGAGCAAAACAACATATGTTCCTAAATGAAATCATTTTATAGAAAAATCATTTAATTTTCATTTAAAAACATGAACAGGAGTGGTTTTACACAGATGTAGTTACTGTCTAAAAATTTGTACCTCAAGATACAGCAGAAGCACCTGAGCATTGCCACTGTATTTTAACAAGTTCTAAGAAAAAATTTGAAACTCAGTGTCAGGTTTGTACTTAGGCAAGTTCAAGATGCTGATTTCTCATCCTAAGCACAGTAGTTTAAGAATGTCCTTAATTTATAATTGACATAAACCTGTAAAAAAGCTGCTTTCTGGATTCGGGAAGGCCCTTGCTGGGCAGGCTTCCTGAGTATGACAGTGGAGTTCTGTCCTCATCTGTCCAAGCTTCTCAGGAGCTGTGCTCAAAATGGAACAAAAGCTGTTTCTGGACATAATGACTGAGCCCATACAGCTAATGTTAAAGTCCCAGACAACCACCATTCTGATCTTTCTCAGACTGAAGTAGAGACATTCAAATTGGCAATGCTGTTTCTGAGACAGCACAAGGTCCTTGGGTGGCTATCTGGAGCTGAATGAGTGGGAAAGTTTTTAACTTTAAACCATTTTCAGACAAAATAAACAGAGAAGGAAAGCTCCAGAGGTCATCATCACATTCGTTCAGTGCTGCTCCCTGAGAAGTCTGTATGCAGGGGTGTGATGTTGTGGTCATAGGCAGCATACTCAGAGGTGCCAGTGCTGGCCAGCTTGAGCTGCTGGGCAGCATGGGTGAGCTGGAATGCGGCATCTGGGTGGGCTGTGTCAGGCAGCAGGGTGCACTCCCTCTCGAGCATGTCCGCCACTCCTTTAAGCAGGTCCAGGAAACCAAAGGCTAAGGCAGCTTTTCGTAACCTGTTCAGCTCCTGAAACAGATGGACAGTTCTCTTCATACAATTTCCAAGCACTCTGCTTAAAGTCCGTTCTTTTTGACCCTCAACGTAAGAAGCATTTCTCTACACAAGAACGAGGGACAACAGTGTGATGCGTAACTGACAAGTAGTGTCTGCAGTGTGCTCAGCAGTTAGAAAGTCAGCAAGCTGATCACAGTTATGCGCAGTTATGCCAAACAGAGAAAGCACCTTGCATACAGCGTTCATGCTGACTCTGGGGACTAGTTTCAGTTTGTTAATCAGGCATGAAAAAGGCTTGTTCCTAGCCTCTGCCTCAAAGCCTGGTACCTCTCTGATGTGGTCTTGGGAATGTGACAGTGAACACAATTGCAGAGGACAGACCCAGAGAAACACAAAGCACTCCATTGACCAGTAGGGCATGTTGTGGGCAAGCTGGATAGCTGCTCTGGTCTCAGAGGCCTTGTTTACACAGGGAGGAGACCCTCCCTTCCTCATCTACTTGAGGAACTGAAGCAGCTAGTTCTCAGACATGGTCCTGGTTATACTGTATCTGGGAAAATGAATGATTACCTTGATATGAAAACATGCCTTTTTGAACAGAACACCAGTCGGCATGTATACAAACTAGAGATGGGCTGCAGCTGAGCACAGAGGTCAAGGGCCTACGTGGATTACAGCTTTTGGGGGTCTGGCTGGCTGAGAAGCTTTCTGTTTGAACTCTGATTAAAACTGTATTTTGTCCAATGTCCCCAGATTGCTAGTAAAAGTGTTTAAAGACAATAGTGATACAGGTAGTAAGATGATACCCAGACAAGGTAGGTTTGTTCTCCAGAAGAGATGTTCATCTAAGGCTACATGTCACACTTTATATTTATTTATTTGGTTTTGGTTTTTTGAGACAGGGTTTCTCTGTGTAACAGCCCTGGCTGTCCTGGAACTCACTTTGTAGACCACTTTGTAGAACTCACAGAGATCCACTTGCCTCTGCCTCCTGAGTGTTGGAATTAAAGGCATGCACCACCATGCTTGGCTTTATTTACATTTTTAATGTGTATAGGTGTTTTGGTTACATGCCTGGTGGCTCAGAGGGTGTCAGATCCTCTGTAACCAGAGTTACAAATGGTAATGAGCTACTGGGAGTTGAACCTAGGTCCTCTAGAATAGAAAGTGCTGTTTAACTTCTGAACCATCTCTCCAGCCCCTATATACTGTATTTTAAAATTAACAGGCTAGGGCCCATTTCACATTGCTCTTAATCTAGTTTAGCCAGGCTCCAAAAGGACAAGGGGTAAATGAATCTGGCTAGATCTCTGTGAGTTACAGGTCAGCCTGATCTACACAGCAAGCTATCTAGAGACCCTGTGAGTCTAAATGTCCCCACTCCTTGTCACTTTAGTCCCTCCTGCAGTGGGGCTCTGGATTAGCTAGGAATGATTACAAAGCACATCCATTTTCTAACACGGTGTTGGTTGGTCATTCCTTGGAGGTGTCTGTTGAGCAATAAGAATATTCTGGGAAAGTTCATAAGAATCACATGTGATGCTTGCTTGGGTTAGCCCTAATATCCACCATGCAGTGGTAAGGACATGATCCACAGGTTCCTTCAAGCTGCTTGCCTGAGCCACTCACAGCAGCCTTCTACTGCACAGGACTGGGCCATTTAAGCACTTCAACTGGATTGTGAGGGAGGCACAGATCAGCCACTTCTGATTTCACAGATTCGAAAACTGATGCAGTAGTACCTCACTGAAACTTTGTGGTGCACATTCGTACCCCCTTTTCTACTATAGTTCTGACAGTCTCACCTTATAGAATGTCTGTGTTTTTTCAGGGAGCTTCCTTGCATTTCTTAAGATCTTCTGTACATCTGTCTATGAGGCATAAAAATAATTCAACATTAGAATTCTGTGACTTTGAAGAAAAAAAATCACCCCAGTAGCTTTAAGTATTTAGAGACATGGAAATAAGAAGACTTAATGTCAACATGAATATTCCTTCTGAGATGATGTTAGTATTCTGCTCAACAATGGCAAAAACACCTTCCTCCTTTAAAAGGCTTGATGGTATTAAATCAATCCTCATAGAAATAGACCCAGTACACCCACATATCTGTGGTTAGACCACTGGTGGGAAAGAATAACTGCTGTTGAGATAACTGAATGAGTGCAAAAAAATGAAGTTGGACTCTTAGCTCACAGGACATTAAAAAAAAAGAAAAAAATCAGCTCAAGATGGGACTGGAGAGATGGCTCAGTGGTTAAGTACACAGGCTTCTTGTCTAGAACTAGGTGATGCCAATGATCACCTAACAATATAAACACTGCTGAACTTATGCATTTTTAAATGGTTGAAATGGTAAATTTAATGTGTATTTTACTAAAACAAGAAAACAAATGAACTAACAAACAAAAATCCAGGGCTAAAATAGAGCAATTCAGTCAAAGTTCGGAGTCTCCTGAGCAGGAAGTGCTTGGCTGGGGTCAGCACTTCGTTCCTTGACAAGGAACGAACACAGAGAAGAGGCCACAGCCCACTTACTCAAGGCAGGAGCCAATGCAGCCAACCAACAGAAGCTCCTTGTCAGCCTGAATGCCTCTTCTCAGTTCACTAAGGCTAGAGTAACTTTAACAAGAGAAAAGGGTGCCCAAAGGAAAAGGGGGTTTCCTAACTGACTGTTACAAATAGAAATAAGTGACCATGTCAGTGGGAGGAGAAAAGTCCTCAGTGCCTTGCCTGAATGCAGCATTCCTAGATAGTCATTATAACTCCCTATGGAGCTGGGCATCGGTGGCTCACATCTTTAATCCAGGCAGGTAGAGGCAGGCGGATCTCTGGGAGTTCAAGGCCAGCCTGGTCTACAGAGCAAGTTCCGGGACAGGCTCCAAAGCCACAGAGAAACCCTGTCTCGAAAAAACAACAAACAAAAAAACCTCCAAGAAAAACCAAAACAAAACAAAAAACCTCCCTATGGAACTGACTTGTGAATTATAATGTAATATGGCTAGAGCCCCCTGGGAGGGCACAATCATTAAGGAAACTGAGGGACCCCTGGCCTTTCTCTGGTCTGTTTTGCCTCTTGGCCACAAGCAATTTTGCTCCTCCATCAATTTCTGCCATGATGATGTCCCAAACCCATGAGCCCAAACAACCTTTTTCTGTTTATAAACTGAACACACACACACACAAACACACACACATCATCCCATTTGTATTTTACTGCAGGTATAGAAGAAATAACCAAAAGATTTAGGCCTTTTTGAACACTGCTGTAGGTAACTTTCCCTTGAGAAGTCCCAACCACACTTGGATCTATCTGACATTTTGTAACTCTTAGAGAAGCCCACACTCAAGTTTAGGCCTGTCTTTCCTCTATGCACACCCCTTTCTTGTAACTCTCAAGTCTACACTAAAATTGTTAAACCCTAGCTCTGCTTCATTTAAAACATAACAGCTAGATGTGGTAGTAAAGGCCTTTGATCCCAGCACTCAGGAGGCAGAGGCTGGGATATCTTTATGAGTTTAAGGCCAGCCTAGTTTCCATAGCCAGTTCAGGACAGCTAAGGCTATGAGGAG